CAGTTAGCACGATACTGCTTTCGATCATGCAATTGTTCTGCTTATTGTGTCTAATCATGAAGGCTCGAATGTGAGTCAGTGAGCCTCAAACTCGCACTTAGATCCACATTCAAAGATGAAGTCAAGTTCGGCTCATGCACACATTAGCTGACAGCTGAAACGATTGATTGAACAGTTCAATGATCAAAGGAGATCGAATCACTTCAATGATCGAATAATCGAAATCTGACTACTTTAATGATATCAAATTTCAGGTTCGACCAGAAAGTGTCTTGTTTTCGGTATCAAAAATGCCGAAACTAGGCGATTTGATGTTATCGGATCGTCCAGTGCAACGCTTCAGTCAATATGATATTAATGAGCGACGATTGAGCTACAAACCGAGAAATGAGGCTATTGACAGTTGGTCGAAACGTGATTGGTTCCAGTTTGTGGTTTCATCGAATGGTACCGCAAATCCCATCAACGAGGAATATCGATTCCGAATTTCAATCACTTACGCGGCAATACCATCGAGCCGCATACATGAATTGATCCCTAGGCGCAGTATTAATATTATACCAGGTTAGATGCTGAATTGTATGACTGCAAATGTTATTTGCAGATTTTCTCACATATTATCAGTTTTTTAAATGTTATCAGCTGTTTTGTTAAATTGTTCAGAATTCGAATGGACATACGAATAGCTGGTTTCATTTNCTTATGATACCCCAAAATCCTTATGATATCCCAAAATCCTTATGTAGCCAAAATTTTTCAGTGTGTCAATTTCAGGTGACAGTGTTGCGGTGAACGCATCACATGTGAATTTAACAGAACTGGTTTCGAAATGTAAAGAGGATCTATTGGTGGAAGCATCGCGACCACCTCGTACAGGCTTATTGCAGTTTGTAGTGCTATCACCGCAGAATCACACATCAATGATAAGCGCTGATCAACTGCTATCTGGTCGTGCGTTGATCTATCGTAATCAAATGATCGACGAGATCAAATCTGATGAAATCTTGTTTCATATCTATCCGAAAAGTGAATCCACAAAACGAACAAACAGATTGCGTGTTCCGTTACCGATCAATTTTCATTCACCCACTGATCCATTATTAAAGGTTCGTTGCTGTTCGAGATTCAGTTTAGCCTGACCTTTAAAGCAATTTAACCATTGACTAGGTTTTTTCTTACTTCGATTCACTTCATCGCTTTATGAACAAATTTAATCAACTTCCTCTTATTATCACTGTTATTTTCATTGTCACTTCATCTGCAGTACAATTTCAATCGTTCAACTTAATTTTCTCGCATTTATTTCCTTTTGAATTCATTATTAGTTTAAGAGGGATGTGGGATTCTGAATTGAGAGTTCTCTCGAAATTCAGGTTGAAAAAATGCCCGATCAAATAAGTATCGTAAGTGGCGGAGAATTGGAGTTGGATCCGAACAGCTTTCAGACCAGCCATCCGCATATTCAACCGTCGGCGATCATTTATCGTCTCCATCAAGTGATGAAAAAATTTCGAGCAATTTTTTCCGTGTTCTCGAATCTGCATACCATTTCAGAATATTTCAATGACTTGTTGCAGCATTTAACTGCTGAATTCTCGATGATATTCAGTGAAACTTTATTCAATTGGGCGAATTTCTAGACTGGAAGTAATGGCGTTGTGCTGAAAATAGGCGATACTGTAGTGAATGAGTTCACTCAAGGCGATGTCAACAAACGCAAAGTGCGCATTCATCATACACAACGCTACGATATACCAGATCAAATCGATGTTCTTGTTTTTAAGGTGGTTTGCAATTTGCATTCGAATGGAACTTTTTTTTCGAGGATCTTACTTGAGTTTGTAATTTCTTCATCAGCTTATGTGCTGAAAAATCTCACAAAAGTTTCCTGGATGACTCTTTTTGCTTAAATTCCACTCGTTACCTCCATTTGTTCATATTGCTCCCAGATTGAGTGATCTTCTGAAGACTTTTGAAAAATCTTATTGTGGAATTACTTTCAAAGCAATTACCGTTTATATTTCAGTTTATAAAAATACGTTATCTATGAGTTAATCAACAAAATGAAACCGAAATCTTATGTATTTTAATGTACACTCGGTCAATTCTATTGTGAAAATAATAATGATAAAAGAGCACTTTGAAAGAAAAGAAATGATTTAAGATCGGTGAACATACTCGAACGTTGGTGGCTGATATATTACCATTATCGCTATCGCTATACAACCACTCAGACATCAAATTCAATCAAGGCAAAACTTATATCGTTCTGAATAGGTAAATTATTCAATCCCTATTTTCGTATTTGTCATTATTAGTTGTGGCATTCAAGAAAAGAGCTTCTCATTGATAAACGTTTAGTATGGTCAATTTGGTTTTGTGACTGAGAAGTTTCTGACGATTATTTCAGAAAATGTTCGGAATTTTTTGTCAAATTTTCATATGGAAAGTATTTTTATTGACACTTAGATCACATCTTGGTGCAAACTCGAATGGTGATCGATCAAAAATAGTTTACAATATCACAAAACCACCCGAAAATGGAACATTCTATTGGGTGGCTGGCGAAAAAGAGGCAAATTCGTTTACGCAAAAGGATATCGACGATGAACGCGTTCTATATGCCCAACTAAATATGCAAGCTTATCAGGTTATTACCATGCTTAACAGGTTATCATGCACATGTTGTGAGTGCTGTTGATTGCAAACGAATCCATCCATACATTATTATCAATTCATCACTAAACTAAACATACAATCACCGTTAGAAAACTGCCAACAATTTTCGTGCCAATCGATCACTCATGATCTCTTGATCTATTTGGTATAAACCGTTCGTAATGAATGCTTCTGCGCATAAGCAATAACAATATATTGTTACATAATTCATCGTGAACATTGCTCATGAAACATGACTCAAAATCATAACGGATGAGCTTTATTTCACCATTTGTGCAAAGTTGTCAATAAAATCAAACCAAAATCGTCTTCCTTGTAGGATTCATTCGAATTCGCGTTGGGTAATGATCAGAATGATATAATCTACAATCGATCCAATGTTATCATCGAATCTGTTGTGAGGCCGCAGAAATTGTTAATTGAACGTGAAGAGCCCGAGCCCATTACTATATCGCATTTAAATGCAACCGTTCTTGAGGTTTGATGTCGAGTTTGTTGATCGACTGCTTGATCATTATTCACTCACTTATGATTGATTAAATTGGCATATTACATGACCTCCTCATCGAACCACCGTCAGTTTGTAAAAGAGACAGCATGAAGCTAAGAGTTATGAAGCAATTACATTCACAACAGTGATATCAGTACTGATAAAGATTACATTAACAGTCACAATCATAATAAGATTTGTAACAATAATGATAACAATACTAATAATTACAGTAATAATATTATTGATAATAAATACAGTGAAAGGTAATTTCGGCAAAATTCAAGGGATCTGCGCCACGTTTTCTGGTCATCGATCCACCGAAAATGGGTCGTTTGGTAATGGATGGTAACCTGAATGAATCAGTGGTATTTTTCACGCTATCAGATATTCGTAATGGGCGATTGTTTTACTTGCCACACGAATGGGTGGAACTGCATTCAAGTGATAGCATTGGATTGCAGCTGGATGCAGACGGCATTCAACCAGCCAGATTTAGGTCTGCAATTTTTTAAAATAACTTTTTATTTCGGTTCTTTGAAATTAAACAGAGCGAAAAACGGGTCACCTGATAGAAGCAATGCACAAGACTCATAATCATGTTTTCTGAAACTTTTGCTGAACATTCGCCGAAAATCTTACTCACTCATTCAACTGCTCGCGTTCGTTCGGTCCCATTATGAGCAGTCGATCTAGATTTTGGATAACGATACGTCTGCAAAAAACCCATCAAACTGTACCGCCGGCAAGTCGAGCACCCCCGCCAACCTCATCAGAGGCGCCGAGCAGTCCCGAAATGGCCCCGGCCAGTTATCAACTGCCACTTTTAATTCTACTCGCTATTATCTCATTAACAATCTTCATTCTGCTGTGTCGACGACACTCTGTCAAACAACGACGACGAAAAGTTGTGGTCGAACAAAAGCAGCGTGAATATGCAGCGAAATTGGATGCGATCGTCGCAGATCAACCCGATCTGCTTGGCAGTACGGTCAGTTAGTTGTTCTGTTGTGCACAGTCAAAATTAGCGATTCGATTACTTTAGCGATTTGAAAGATTTTCAANTTGCTCATCATCACAACAACACATCATTGGATCAGTGGATTGATAGTTGAAGCATTCATCTTAATCCAGCAAAAAGTGGCACTTCACTTTGTTAACGTATCAATAGCAAACATCACGTGAAATTTCTACAAACCGCTGTCAAAACGACACAATGTGAAGAAGGCTAATTGTAAGCTGAAGCGGAGATAGTTTCAGTATTGAGGTCACTACACAGACTTTAATCAATCCGAACAGATCAGTATCGGTTCATATCCCATTAGCCATTCATAATCCCGGTCTAATCGTTTACTGATGTGAGTTACCCTTTTCCATTTGTCAGGTGTACGCGACCGTCGGTCGTAATCGGCCAGAAACGAATCCAAATCCAACCCGGAATCGTCAACTGCAAACGTTCGACTCATCGCTATCGTCCTCTTCAGTCATATCGCAGCAGCCCAAATGTCGTATAACTCCACTGACTTTCTCCTCACCATTACTCAATCATCGCCGACCCACAACAACTTCACTTTCGACCGCTTCAAAACATCAGTTTCAAAATTCACTCGATCATACCATTTTGGCCAGAGCCAGTTCATCGAGTAATATCTCATCGAGAAGTAGACAACCAGATAAACTGCAGTCAACAAAATTAAAAGATAATCAGTATTGGGTTTAACTAACAATCAGTTCAATTGTTTGATGCTGAGAGAATTGTTACAGAATATGTCTGATAAGTTACAGAAATTAAGCGAAGAGGAATAATATGACTGATGAAATTAGCTAATCCATCGTGATTTGAGCAACTGGCAATACATTCGTGTTTTCGGCAATATACGACAATGATGTAAGCTGTATGGGGTGCTGAAATTCAAGTATTTTAGATAATGTTGTAGGTTATGAATTTGGAATTCGATTCAAACAAATCGATGATATTCGAAGAATATCAAATGCAGTGACTACAACGGCTCTAACAAATTCTCCTGTGATTAATTGTTCTAGAAGTTCAATGAAATTATCGAGCTGTAGAACATTTCTGATGCATATTCACTGCTTTATTACCTCACATCGTATGTATTCAATGTATATTGTGCGATTTATTGCACTTTCACGAGACATTCAATCGCCGTACTGAAATATCAGATAAAGATCCGATGGTCTTGTTATTTTAAGCTGAATTTTTGGGATTATCTTGTGGAAAATTGCATTTTAGATCCATTATATGATCTGAATTTGATCTGAAAATTAATCTTTTGCGAGAATTTTGAAGCAGAAAGATCGAAATTTTTGAAATGTTGGGAATTCTGGAAGTCAATGGATTTTCGATGTTCTTTCAGTGAGAGCTTCTCTTTATTATCCAAATCAGCCTTGTATGAATGAGTGATTTTTTGAATGAAACGCTGCCTTTTTCTGATGGTTGCCTTACACTCGAGCATGTGCGCGGTATCTTTGCACTGATTTTGCATACACTCATCATATTATTCGGAACTTTGCTATTGTTTAACCGTCGAGTTTTCAAGCGTGACGCTTCCAAAACAGGAAATCTTCAAAACTGGAAATCAAGACATCTATTTTGAATAGGATTGAAATATTCCAGTTCCGAATGAAGATTTTGTGTGTGCAAGATTGGTGAAGTTGTTTTTGTTGTTGTTATGATATCAGTTTGCATGAATATGGAAGCATTCACGATAGTCTGATGATATCAATTGATATATTTGATCTTACAGCGGTTAATCTACGTTCAGAATGTTAATTTAAGTCTTTAAATATTCCAATATGGTCAGAATTCGTCAGACGATTCAATGCTTGTATGCATATATGCTCATTGAGAAAGTTAAAGACGATTCGACGCATAGATACGATTCTTTCATTCCCTATGAAAATTTTCATTTCTCTTGTAAATGCTTCCGTAAAATAATTGCTCATAACGTGTTATTTACAACTGTAATCTGAATTGTGAATAAAACAATTTATTGAATAGTCTTTTGCATAAATCGAATTCCAACAAATTGACGATTTTTTCAGTCATAATTTTTAAATATTTCTCAAAATTTTCAGTTACAGGCATTGTTTGCTCAATTCTTAGCTACAGGTAAAAGGTGAAAGTCAAAC